AAAAAGCAGTAGTGATATCCGAACAATAAACATTGCTTTATGGTTCATTATTTGGAGTAGTTTGTGATGAGTGGCTCCCTCTTGTAGTCTTTTGCTAATTCTTCTCTTTTGTTGCTGAGAAATGTTCACATTTGCTGTGATATTCACCTCTTTACTGGGCATGGGCTGCCGAATCAAACCGTGCTCAGACACAGCACGGGCGCTCACAAGTAATCAAAAGAACCGGGCAGCGTGCACGGTGCAGATCGCCTAGCCCAACACTGTAGATGACGGGATCATGTAATGTTAACTTCAAATGATTCATTTGTTGGACTTGGACAATAATAATATAATAACGTACATGCAGGTCACAAAATAAAATAAAATTTGATGGAAGCGACTCGTGCGTGGGCCCCCTGTTTAGGCAAACCTTGGATTATTAAGGCTATGATAGTTCATCATATAAGATATTTTAGATTCAGAAAAGTACATTTTGCCATTAGGTATCGAAATGATATGATGATAAGAGCCTGCTCAAAATGCGCCTTCCTCCTCCTGCCGGTAATCCAAAAATGCCCGCGAAAGATGACCCAGCTGTGACCACGGGGAGTTACACCAACAACAAAAGTTTTTGGGTCCACGTGCAGGTTTATTAGAATCGTCAGACGAGTGGTCAATACAGGGGCAACCAGACGTATGAGGGCAATCTAGAGTCGAAGTCAAATTAACATGCAGATGGTCAGAGGCAGGCAGGTGATCGCTGGTGAACATGACACCAGCAGGTGTGTTGTTTTGACTCAGCGTCTCTGAAGTACAGTGGGAAATGTGCAGCTTTGATTACAAGTGTACAAAAGGTGGTAGTAAGAAATTTGAAAATTCAGAAAAAAATCTAATTTTAATTATATGAAAATGCAAGGAATCTGGGTTTAAGTTTCACTATTTTCATTGCATTTAAACAAATTAGTATTATAGCTGTCAGTATTACATTATGTCTATAAATGTTTGGAAAATTATATATATATATATATATATATATATATATATATATATATATATATATATATATATATATATATATATATATATATACTGTATACATATATAATATGTGGCATCCTAGTCTGCCCCTGCTGTGAGTTGATTTGACCCAAGAAGCTGGGTTGATGTGTCTGTGTGGTGCTAGGGTTGCATTGATTAAACTCTTAGCATATATTACCCAGAAAATAACCCAAGTTTGGGTTACATAGCACTACCCAAAACTACCCAAGACTGTGAAAATAACACCCAAAAATTACCCAAATGCCTAACCTCACATTTGGGTAGAAAAATTAACCCCGGATTTTTTAGATTGAAGGCATACAAAGGGGATGTATGTGTGGTTTCTGAAACAAATAAACAATAGACAATAATGAATACAGATGTTTCACAATAAACATAGTAACAACTGAACAGCACACTATTTAAGTATAACAGTAACATCTCAACAGATAATATGAGCGCAATTCTCTGAATGTCCACAAGCACATGAATGCTGCATTACAGCACCTTAATTGCCTACATGTGAAATGTGAATGATCACCACATATACAGGAGCATTGTCACAATATATATATATATATATATATATATGTGTGTGTGTGTGTGTGTGTGTGTGTGTGTGTGTGTGTGTGTGTGTGTGTGTGTGTGTGTATATATATATATATATATATATATATATATATATATATATATATATATATATATATATAGAGAGAGAGAGAGAGAGAGAGAGAGAAAGAGAGAGTTTAGTTCTGGTATGTGAACGGTCACTATTGAAGGGAGAGTGAGACATTACATTGATGATAAGCTGAATTTCACTGCAGCCATCTCTGGGTTTTTTTCTTTTTTTTTTTTGGGTTCCTTTTACGGTTTTAACATTGAGTGTCTGAAGTCAACCAATGCCACAGAGCATATTAAAAGGTAAGTATAAGATATGGAAGAGATGCATTTAAAGGCAAAAATATTCACACAGAGCAAAGAAGTTGACAAAAAAATTTGAAAATTTGAAGAGAGTAACACATTTCACTGCAGCACTCTCTCCCTCCCTCCCTCTCTCTCTCTCTCTCTCTCTCTCTCTCTCTCTCTCTCTGTGTGTGTGTGTGTGTGTGTGTGTGTGTGTGTGTGTGTGTGTGTGTTTTGTTTCTTTTATGTTTTTAACCTTCTATATCAGAAGTCAAGTAATTCCTTTGTAGAGCTTATTCAAAGGTAAGTATTATAAATGAATGACATAAATTTATAGGCATAATTATTTAGTCTTCTTTGAAATGTAAATTCTTTTAAATATATCCAAAGTGATGTTTATCAGAGCAAAAAATGTCACAGCATTTTTTGCAACTTTGTTTACTTTTCCTAATAAACCTAGTTAAGCCTTTATATTGCAATGGATATTGCAATGAAAAGCTGAATATTAGAATCTTGCTAAATAACTAATAAATAAAAATAATCTCCCCCTTAAACAGCACCTACATACATTTTTGCAGTGGCTGAAGGAAGTTGACTGGAAAACTTCAAATGACTTGAAAACTTCAAAAGAAGTATGTAAAAGGGGCATTTATAGCATAAAGACTTTCTTTTTTGTATGCATAAATTATTTGTTTTGTTTTTTTATTACTACTAAACAGGTTTGGTGCAACATGAGGATCAGTGTTGACCATTTTTTTATATATAGTCTTGCTTTAGATTGAGTTTTTTAAATTAATTTATTCAGTTTTTTTATTGGATATGTGATTGTAATAAATTTTGGAAGTTGCTTTAAAAGTCCTATGTTATATACCATGGGGGTCAAACTCAGTTCCTGGAGGGCTGAAGCGCAGCAGAGTTTAGTACCCACCCTGCTTTAACATTACCTGAAAATTTCTAACAAGCCTAATTAGTTTGATCAGGTGTGTTTAATTAGAGTTACAGCTTAAAGTCACACTGCACTAATCTCCCTATAGACTAACATCTTTGTTTCTAACATCTTTGTGTTTAGAATAAGATAGACAGCTTGTGGGAGTGTGTGGTGATGCTTAAATCATTGTTTTCTGCCTTAATATAAATGCAATTCTCTATAAATAGCAACATAAAGCATCAGAGTAGATGGGACAGTAATGATGGAACAGTAATTTGCCATTTATTGTCAGTTTCTACCTGTAATGTGTACATAAGGTAAATTGCTGTAATGTTATCTTTGCACTACACAAATTCATACAAATCCTACTCCTTTTATAGTAAAATACTTTTTCCTTTCATTACAGCAAAACACTGGCTATTTTAGTTATTTACTGCATAATCTACAGTAAGGGTTAACAGTGTAGTTGTTTGCTCACCCACTCTGATGATGCAGCATTTAACTGTGCACATTGATCGGTTAGTGTCATCTGGGATTTATGTGTTGATCTCCGGCAATGTAGCCCTTGAAAGTAATATGCTATTTTAAGAATGTAGACTTGTTCAGAACATTGCTTATTTGCAGTTATTAAGCATCTGAGCTTATTTTTTTTTATAAAGGCTTAATTCAGTATACTTGTACTTATTTAATCAAATAAGTAGATTATTTAATTGCATTTGAAACGAAAAAACAACAACATCTGAGCAGTTCAATGTTGTACATTCCTGAAAGGTGATCATTACTGATCTATTTTCGCCACCCACTGGTGGAGAATGATTTAGCATTTTTATACTGCAAGGTTTTATTCTGTGAAGATCATTAACAACAGTATTTTTTTCAGAATGAGTTAATTCTCTCATAAAAATCCACACTGATATTTTTTGAACACACCTCTTTCAATGCATTTGCCAATTAATCAGAATAAACAACGTGCATGAGACAACAGCTGAGTCTGTTGTTTTTCTATTACACTATTTTATCCACATGTAAATCTTTTGTAGTGCACAATTATTCCTATTAGACCACTAATAACAGTGCCTCGAGAGGTTACAAATCATACTATTTTTTAACTCAACTAAATGCTTGACCTCATTCTGCATTGAGGAAGTGCGCCCGTTTTCGCGTTTCTTTAAAAACTTCTGATTCAGTTTCCCATGGAAAAATAACTAGGGATAATAAACAGCAGAAAACAAACTGATAAACAGCAGCAAACTGCTTGCTCTACAAACAAGTCTGTTCATGACTATACATAAAAAGTAGAATAATATAATGAGAAAATATCAGTTTAAGAGGCATCAAGAGGCTTACTAGCTCATTTTAATGGAAGTGAGACTCCAGCCAAAATGATTCCAATGGCTGTGCCTGCTCATACGTGAAGAATATAAGGTCAATAGTGGTCACATGTGCTCTATAATTTGTTTGGCATATAGCAATATCACAGACATTTGTTATTTATTTCAGCGTTTGTAGTGTTTGACAGTTCAAGTTATATAGTTTCACCCTCAAATAACGACCATATAATGAACAACCAGAGGCTTCAATATGAAAATGTGCAAATTGGAGTTTCATTTACAATACAGAAATTGGGTTGATCTCTTTCTTTTGTATATTGTTTTACTGTATGTAGTTATACTATGCAGGGGTTTATTGTTTGCCTTTTAGTGTTTTGCCCAGAAATTTGCTGGGCTTTAAAATGTAAGTTAAAATATTTTAGTTTAAATCTAAGAGCTTCCTCAGACAGTGAGATTCTCTATAACACTTTATAATAACATTACACAAGTAAATCATTTATTACGCTTTAGCAAATAGTTCATTCATCATTTGTTGAGCATTAACTCCATTAGTGTACTAAAGTAATACATTACTATTAACTACATTCATATAAATTAGATCAATACATTAATATTACAGGCATTTAATAATAGTTATTTTGTATATTAATAAGTATATTTAGGGGGAGAATATTTTGAACGCGACCCAGGTGTAAAATTTTTATTGTGGAAAAACTTTTTGGTGCACTTTTAAATTGATGTCATAATCAGAAAGTGTGTATTGCATACAAACATGCTTCTCTTTTATTGGCTAGAGGGCTGACATCATCAACCGTCCTCAGCTCCTCCCCAATCTCTCCTGCATCAGCACCATCACTCGCATTCGTAGAGCCTCAGGATCCAGAAGACCAGCTCTGACCTGACTTAAGAGGCTTCAATCTTCGAGATGGAGAGCTTGCTGGACAACCCAATGAAAGCCGTGCTTTATCTCAAAGAACTCACCACTATTGTACAAAACCAGCAGAGTCTGATTCAAACCCAGCGGCAGCGGATCGACGAGCTCGAGAGGAAGGTTGAGGATTTGATCGGCGAGAACCGTCAGCTGAGAGATCCGCATCAGCACCAACATTATCATCCGCACCACCATCACCCATCCCCGCCTACTAGCAGCCCGCACCCGGCCGTTCACCCTCACCAGCATTCGGGGAGTCACGGTCAAACCCAGCCGCAGCTGCCGCAACAGCAGCATCCGTCGAAACAGCCGCAGCCGCAGCCAGCAGCACCCATTCATCACCCGCAGCATCTGCAGCTGGTACCTACATCTCCACCGACTCTAAAAGCGAGTCAGTCCAGCCCTGAGTCAGCAGACGACGACAAGAAAAGCCCATCCTGCAAGTCTTTGGTTCCGCAAACGCCATCGACACTGTGCCGGTCCGTCGGCCTTGCCAGGAAACCAGAGTAAGTAAAAACCACAGCAAGAAACGCACGGTGCATCACACACTCTACCTCCGATCATGCGGCATTTGTTTCATATTAGTGTCAGGAGCGATAATTTTATACATGAAAGACTGACAGTTAAATGCGATTAATATTATTATTTATATAAGTCACATGTGTAGATTAAAAATCTTTTCAATAATACACTCTAAATTATTATGATGGTGACGACGACATCGACGATAATAATAATAATAATAATAATAATAATAATAATGATGATGATGAAGATGATGATGATGATGAATGAATGATGATGTAAAATGTAAAATTCCAATCCTGTCCATAATGCTTTAGAAATCAGTAGAAAAAACACATAAATGATCTATCTATCTATCTATCTATCTATCTATCTATCTATCTGTCTGTCTGTCTGTCTGTCTGTCTGTCTGTCTGTCTGTCTGTCTGTCTGTCTGTCTGTCTGTCTGTCTGTCTGTCTGTCTTTTACTTAACACACCTGGCCTTGATCTCTGCTCTGTCGATTTTTGTTGCCGAAAGTTCAATTCTACTGTTTAACAGTGACTTTTTTTTTGACATTTTAGTGTATAATGTAGAGAAATAAGTCTGTAAATAGAGAAATAAATCTGTAAAATAACAGAAAACGTACTTTTGAACTGTAATATACAATAATACACCATCTCAGACAATATATCATTTAAAGTTATTACAAATGATAATAATAAATCGTTTTTGAACTTCTGAAGGTTAAAAGTTGTTGGAAGATCATGGTTCTATAATGCAAATCAAAAGCATAAACTAATGCGAGAAGAACCATTTAATGTGCTATCAAAACAAAGACTTACGCATTTATTTGATTGTATTTAAGCTTCTGCAGAAAGATGATTATTAATTATTAGATGATTATTAATTATACTCAGACAATCAGCATAAAGTGTGCCACATAGATTTTCTCGATTTTTTTTTACACACTGTCTAGCTTTTGTCAACCTAGCCCACAGTAAACCAACTCATGCTGATTGCCTCAGCAAATCCTCTTTAAAATGAAAGGCTTATTTTAGGACCCTTTCTATGAAATCTTCTCAGCAAATAATATCCTGCTTTATCCTGCTGCTATGCTGTGGTGTAACTGGACAGATGACATTAACAATCTGAAAGTGAGACATTAAAAAGAATAATCTGTAAATATTGTTACTGAACCTGATTTAGATAAAATCTAGGACAAAAACAGTAAATACTGTAGGACTAAAACCGGATCGGCTATGTAATGAAAGATTGGCTTTAAATTGAGGTACTTACTGAATGGGCCCAGTCACTATAAAGTTATGTGTTAGTTTAATTTGGGTGCCTGTGCTGTTAAACTACTGTAGATGCATTATTATTCAAGTATTTGGAATTAAACACTAATTAATTCTATTATTTTCTTTTGGGCTCAGTCCTTTTATATATCATGGACCGCCACAGTGCAATGAACCTCCAACTTATCCAGCATATGTTTTACCCAGCGGATACCCTTCCAGCCGCAACACAAAATTGGGAAATACCCCTACACTCATGCATTCACACACAGACACTTCGGCCAATTTAGCTTATTTAATTCACCTATACCACAAGGAGTATGCGGAGGAAACCCATGCGAACATGTGGAGAACATGCAAACTCCACACAGAAATGCCAACTGACCCAGCCAGGGCTTGAACAAGCAACCTTCTTTCTGTGGATTTAAACATTTTCTATAAAATCTACATTTGATTTAGTCGGTTTTGTAGGTTCCTCTCAAACAGCTGACAGTGAAAATTGTATAAAAGAACAGCTAATAGCACTATAGCAACATGTATGTACTTTTATTGCATCACAAAATGTGCTCTGACACATTGGAGTTGATATAAGTCATGCTCTATTTCTGATTTGAGGCTTCATCTCCTTAAAACGATTCACTTAAGAAGGATATTGGATACATTTGCATACAGCAGATGACACTGCGATATGAGATTCACCACAGCTGAGATCCAAAAGGGCACAGGTCATACAAACCTATGTGTGGTGGAATTAATGTGTAGGGTAAGATTAATGGCTGGCATAAATTACATTCCAAGATTAAAATGGAGGGATTAAAGGAATAAGTCACCCAAATGCTGGACAGCTGGATGTTTGGTTCATGCGTCATGGTTTTCATTTTTAAATTACAAATAATAATAATAATAACAATAATAAAAACACTAAACGGAACGGTTGATGTGTCAGGGGGACATATATACATGGTGTATATATATATATTTCAGCTACAATAAAAGCAGTTTTTAATAAAATAAATAAATAAGTAAATAAATAAATAATGGAGGTCAATATTATTAGCCCCTAGAGCATTTTATGTTATCTACTAAACAAACCTGTTACACATTGACTTGCCTAAATAACACAACTTGCCTATTTTACAGTTTTTCTCAGTGGCTTTGGGGCATTTCTCACAACACTATTTACATTTGCACAACAGCTAAAGCATTTCTCAAAACAATTAGTCATTTGCGCACATCATAGTGTTTGGTTTCTCATTCCTTCCAACAAATTGCAAATGTTTTTGAACATGTATTAATTCCTTTCATACAACTCGCTGTTTTATAACATGATCATGGCTTATGTCATGTTAGTCAAAATTAACAAAACTTGTGAATGCTAAATAGTCATTGCACATAAAACTAATAGTCCTCATTTCATTACTTAAGTCATTACATACAAAAATGTTGACCTAGGTGTTAAAATCTGTCAAATGTCAATTTTATAAAAATGTTTAAATCTTTTTTTTTTCTGAAAATGTCTTCTTAAATTGAACAATTTCATGAATGATTTACAGACCAATGTATACTGTAGGTTTAGTTCCAATATACTGCAATACTGCAATATTGTTTACAGTTGTGCACAGCTCTACCCAAAGGAGGCTTATGTTTGTTGTAAATAAAGGTGTATTTATTCTTTTGCACAATGCTGTAAATATATTAGAATGGCAAAGAGCAAATGCCGTAAAAATCTGAAACACACATATTCAGTGTCTTATACTCAGATACCTCGCTAAATGCAGTGATGTCTAACTTTACTGTCTTTTTCAAATGGCTGTGCAAATAGTATATAGTGCTGTCTTGACCATTTTCAGGAAGTGTCACCAAAATCTGACTTTTTTGCATTGGAACAAACTTACAAAGTAAATTGTCATAATGGAAACACAACAAAGCAATTTGACTATCTTGTTCATAAACAATGGTGTCAGGACTTTTCATCTTGATGACACTGACACTTTCATTGACATAAATACTTACTTTTGAGGAATGAGTTATCCATTTTAAGCAAGTGACACGCTTTTGCAAGTTATCAACAATATTTTGCAGTTTGTGCTAATTGCTTTGAGAAATGCAACTTATTGAGAAATGCACAACAATTAACTGTTGTGCAAATGTAAATAGTGTTGTGAGAAATGCACCAAAGCCACTGAGAAAAACTGTAACCTACTGTAATTAACATAGTTAATCCTTAACTGCACTTTAAGCTGAATACTAGTATCTTGAAAAATATTTTGTAAAATGTTATACACTGTCATCATGCCAAAGATAATAGAAATCATTTATTAGAAGTGAGTTATTAAAACTATTATGTTTAGAAATGTGTTTAGAAATCTTACCATTAAACAGAAATGATAGAAAATATACAAGGGGCTAATAAATCAGAAAGGCTAATAATTCTGACTTCAACTGTACCTATTTAGACAATTGCATCGTTATTGACCATACACAACAGTACAGTTTGATAGAGGGGTGTCAAAAATAAATCGTGCTGGTACATTTGGCAGCAACTCTCCATATTACAGAACAGTTCACTAACTCATTAAATCAGATGCTGTACAACAGCTGATTCATTTGTAAACAAAGCAAGCAACTGTCTTAGTGAATGAATCATTGACACAAATGTTTAGTTTAGAACAAATTAATCCAGGAAAAAAAACACTGTAGTATTGCTCTGGGAGAAGCAAACCTCTGCTCCAGCTTTATTTTTGACTACTTTTGGTGAAAGAGAGCACACACAAACAACTTGTGTATTAATTATAAGTCTCTTAATGCTAACTTTTGAATGAAATAAATTACTTTGCAATTGTGCTGACATAACGGGAGAAACACTCTGGTTACTAAAGTAACCCTTGTTCCCTGAGGAGGGGACCTTCAATGCTATCAGTGGATTTATTTAATCTACGAATGGGGATTTCGTTTCAGAAAGCCAATCGTCTGAAAGAGTATATAACGGGCCAATGAAATGCCAAAAGCTTGCGCACGTGTGCCTTATTGCAAATTATCTCCGCATATAAGCACAGGGAAAGCAAGGAAACGCCATCCTTTTAAGCTGAAGAGACTGACACTTACAGCTAAGGAACAATCATTATGGTGATGCTATATAGCATTTCCGTTCCCTTCCTCGGGGAACGAGGGTTACTTTAGTAACCAGAGCGTTCCCCTTCGGATGGGGAACTTCAATGCTATCAGTGGATTTATTTAATCCACGAATGGGGAAATGTCTGGAAAACGCCATAATGACTGGACCTTACCTTCGCCTCCGATGAGAGGATAGCTTTCAACATGATCCCTGGCCCTTGCTTATCCCATTTCAAAGTAGTTTAACGGATTTAAATATATTTTTTGGGAGTCGCAAGCGTCTAGATAATTCTAGGAAAATACGACAGTACGTTGGGAAAGTGTGCAGTCCCAATAGGGAGGACGCTGCGGAGGCCACCTGCTAACGGAGAGGGAAGACACGGGTCCACCCGTAAGGGGGGACTGCACCGGGGCTGAATAAGCATATGGGATCACCTTGTGGGGATCACGCATAGCGGGCACCTATACCCAAAACGCGGGCTGACCAGCAGGCAGACCTACAATGTAAGGGGCCAGCAAGTGACTCCTCCCCTGAGTCAGTGCCGGGGACCTCGGAGGAATCTGCAGGGCTCACCTAACGGGGAACTTTAC